CCCCGCCTGCCCCCTTGCGCAAACGCATCAATCGCGTTCAGGCGCGTTCAGTGAACGCGCGTTCACTGCGTTCAAAAACTGAACGCGGAATGCGCGTTCAATGAACGCGCGTTCACTGCGTTCAAAAACTGAACGCGGAATGCGCGTTCAATGAACGCGCGGTAACATAGTTCCTCTGCCCTCGGATAGAAGGCGTGAGGGATGATCTCGTACGACTTCAGGTACTCCTGCCGCGATGGTAGCGTATCCTCATCCCTAGGTTCCTCTAAGCACGCAGTCCACTGAAGATACGGGTCCAATGATCGCTCGAAAATGTACGGAGCAGGACTGTCGTCACTCTGAAAATAGATGTCGGGCGAGAGATCGTCCACCAATTGCACGATCGGTGCGATAAGCTCCTGCGCAATCAGGTGGCGTCGACCCGGCCGTACCGATCCGTAGAGAAAGCCAAGAAGATCTCCTTCCACGTTAGTCCTCCAAGCCTGTATGATCAGCAGCTCCGGATTCTCGATCCACGTGGGATGCTCGCTAGTGCCCGTCCATGTCACCTGTACTCTGGCCAGGCAGAAAGACAGCTCCTCAAACGTTTCGCGCCACAACCGCCAATGTCCAGGATTGATAATAGCGACTGAAAGAGGCTCGAACGAGAACGAAAGAGAAGGGTGAAGATCGGATTGCCAGAAGGTGGGAAAGAGAGAGGGGAGAGCAAAGATAGAGAGAGGCGCGAGGAGATCGGCGTGGTTGATTGGGGATGTGGGAAGGGGACGAGGGTTGGGATCACAACTGGCCGCTCGCGCGGTGATCGGCGAATATTGTCTAGATCCGGTGTAAAGATCGGGATGATGTTATACCCTTGTCGGGTGAGGACGTGCTGCCATACATTTGACACTTGCTTCGTCCACTCGCGCAGCGAGGTCAAGATCGCGGTATGCCACGGCAGATTGACCGAGCTGATGTCGCCGGTGAATGCCGCCACCGTGGTGACGTGGCTCGTCTTGGGACCCGCTCGCCGATGAACTGCGGTTACCTCTGCGAATACCACTGCGTGAGGACTTCCTTCGATCCGAAACGTGGCGGCGGCACAGATACCTTCGTTGCATCAGACGCCGAAGATCCGCATTGAGCTGAGGGTGACAAACTTGCCGAATCTCTGAGATGTGGCCACGTGGCTGCAACAGCTGCGCGTCAAGAACCCGCTCCGTGATAAAACTCATGGAGAGGGAGAAAGAGGAGAGAGAGTTAGATCGTCGTCGTTCTCCTCGCTTTCCGAGGAGGAAGAGGGAGGAAGATCAGAAGGAGGAAGAAGACGGAGGTAGGAGGTATGCCGGACGATGGGGACAGAGCTATGGCTGGCACTAGCCTCAGGCCCGATGCGTACTGTGTTGGCGCCATTGGGTCTGAGTTCGACCACGCGAAAACAGCCAGAGAACTTGGGAGCGAGTTTCCGGTCGCATGCACATTTTTGTACCTGCACTAGGTCCCCTAATTTATATTGGTATTGGGGCCCAACATTTCCATTCCGGGCCTCGTAGCTACGGACCTGTCTACCGTGGGCCACTTCGGTCATCCTCTGCCTTTTTCGGGCTAGCTTCGGGACGGCCCGTTCCATTAATTCGGTGTACTTTTGGCCTTGGCCTTGAGAGTTGCACGCGTGTCTCTACCCCCTGCTTCGGCAATTTTTGAGTTACCCCGGTAATCGATACAGGGGAGGCTATTAGTTCGAAGCTGAAAGGGGGTAAACCCCGTAGACTCATGAGGGGTGGCCCGGTGGATCCCGACGATCTGATATACGATCTCGGGCCAAGGACGCGTGTCGTGTGCCGCTAAGTTCCTGTGAAGGGCGGTTTTAATCATACGTTTGGCATTCTCGGCCAACCCGTTCGACTGAGACACGTGTGGTGCCGTATGTCGGAGCGTGACGCCCCTTCGCGCAAGCAGTTCTTCTACCTCACCTTTGAATTCCGACCCATTGTCAGTTAGAATTTCTTCCGTATCTAGGTAGGTATAGAGGAATCGTTCGATGTATGTGGCTATTTCTGCGGCCTTTCGGGTCTTACAAGGATAGACTTCGATGTATTTGGAAAAATGGTAAATTAAAACTAACAGGATAGAATATTCACAATGGTTTGGGCCAGGTGGCACGTCAATATCTGTCGTGTCCATACTGACTCGCTGGAAAGGACGCTCTACTTCCGTTGGTACGATCGTGTTTGGTCCCCGTATAGGGGCGCGATCAGCAGCACAGACCAGACAGTTAGCGACAATGTACTTGACGTCATCTCATATATCTACAGTTGCCTCTGTGACACGTATTGCAAAATGAGCGGTCTGTTCTTCGTGAGCGAATCGGATCCAATCGTATCTCTGGAAGGGATGGGGAACCGTCAACCACGAACCTGATCCATCAGTTTTACGCTTTTCTAAATGACCGTTGATCCATCGATAGTCCCGAGATCTCTCGGTTGCCCTACGTCTGTCGTGTTTGGTGAGAAAGCCCAATGATAATCCCGCTAATTTTGCTAATAAAATTTTATCCATCCAAACCTCCGCTTGTCGGTATTTTTCATCATATTCAGGGTCGTCCGTACGGGCGGCCTCGAATCGAACCTCCATGGGGAGCTTGTTCGTTCTACACAGGGGGCACCTCCATTCCTTGCTACTCGTCCGATATCGAATGCAGGCCCCGTGCGCACGGTTGACACACGTGGCACATTCTACCCAATCGACAAATCCGGTCTCGAAGGGATGACAGTCGACCCCATAAACTCGTGCAATACACGTGCAAAAATAGCAGAATTTATCGGGAAGGGTGGCGAAGAAAGCCGAGGAAGTGAGAGGGGCAGAGTTAGTGGGAGAAGAAGGGGTTGCGGAGGCGAGTGGGGTAGTCATGATGGCAGAGGAGGAGGGGATTCACGGAGAGCATGACAGAACAATTAGTCCTCGTGTCACTTACTGCTTCGATAAGATCTTCACTTGGCCGTACCGAGGTATGATCTCCTGTTTGGGTTCGTTCCACGGAATTACCTCCTCACCCTTTGGAACTTTCTCAGGCCGGTGCAGTCGTGTCAGTCCGTCTGCATTCCCGTGTCTCTCGTGCTTTCGATGACGAATGTCAAAGTCCATGCTCTGCAGCACCGTTGCCCATCGCCCGATCATGCCCGAGTAATCCTTCGACTTCTTCAGAGCCAACAGGGACTCATGATCAGTCACCAGGGTGAATTTTTGCCCGTACAGGTAAGCACGGAAGTGACCGATTCCCCAGAGAGCCACATAGCATTCACCCGTTGGAGCGGCGTAGTTGCACTTACAGGCGGGCACTGATTTGGACGCATACTCCACCACACGCTCGAGTCCGCTTTGTCCCACCTGGGCAAGGATCGCCGAAATCACCTCTGGCTGCCAGTCAGTGATGAGAACAAAAGGTTTTTCGGGATCCGGTCTTATAAGGACCGGAGTCGAAATGAGAGCGACCTTGAGTGTGGAAAACGCTTGATCGCATTCCGACGTCCAGATCAACGGCTGATCCTTGCGGAGCAGATTTGTGAGAGGTCCTGCAATCGCCGTAAAACCCTTGATAAATCTTCGGTAGTACGAGGCTAGACCCAGAAAAGCGCGAACTTGCGTGATAGTCGTAGGCACCGGCGCATCCCTGACAACTGCCATCTTCTGTTGGAGTCCCTTTTCTGTCACCACGTGCCCTAGGAAGGAAATGGTGGTGAGGAAAAACTGACACTTCTCAAGCGCCACTTTGAAACCTGCATCTTGTAACGCATGTAGTGCCCATTCGATGTGCTGCACGTGTCCCTCGTAGGAACTCGAATACACCAGGATGTCATCCATGTACACAATCACGCAGTAGTTGATGATGCTCTGCGCCAAACGAGTCTTTCTCACGGAATTCTGGAAAGCCATGGTCATGGCCCGCTGAAAGGTCGCAGGGGCATTGCAGATACCCATCGGACATCGAATCCACTGCCATGTACCTTCGAAAAGCACGAACGCTGTTTTCAGGCGATCTTCCTCACGAACAAGAAGATGATGGAACCCATGGCGAACATCAAACTTACTGAAAAATCGAGCACTCCCAATCGCATCCAACAACTCATCAATCCGGGGGAGGGGATACACATCTTTAATCGTGATATCATTCAACTTTCGATAATCAATGCAAATGCGAATCCCTCCAGCCTTTTTAGGTACGATCATTACAGGGAAAGACCATGGACCTACAACGGGTTCGATCCATCCATTAGCTTCGAACTCCTTAATCCGCTGAAAGCGGCCGCTCTTTGAGATGACGAGTATCGGTAGGGAGCGCAGCGAATGGGTGGATGATCTCCCGTGAGAATGGCATGCTCGATCACATTAGTTAAGCCGATGTCGTTATCGTGTATGCTCAATACTTCTTCGTAGCCATTTAACACACGAATTAACGATTTCCGGAGTTCCGCGGGAACGTGACCTGGCAAGGTGATTGTTGATTCCCCGGAAATCTTAAGGGGCATATCGATCCAATCAACTGGCCATTCCCGTCGATCATGGACACTAGAAAAAACGGAACTACTGGTGCGAACAGAGAAGACAGTTGCTATCATCTGGGACTCAGCAGGGATGATCATCTTTGTTTCAGCGTCAGTTTCTGAACCAACCGAGGTCGGTTCCACAGTTAACCCTGTTAGATCCGTCATTTCTTGCATCAGATTAGGTACATCACTTACCGGTGCTTCCGCCTCTTGTTTAATCAAGGCGATGGTGACTCCTGTCGTCAGTAACGATCGGGGTGAAAAAACAGAAACGTCTAAATACTGTTCCGTTTGCTGATAACGTGTTCGTAAGGAGAGAGCTCCCTCGTATAAGGTGCGAGGGGGTTCCAAATCATTAGCCAGATCAGAAACTTGCAATATGGGTTCCCCGAGGAGGACTGAAAGACTAACTTGAGTTATCGGAGGCGCAAGCGCGCTGTCTCCGGGATCCATGTGGAAACTTCGAGCAGGGTCGGGGCACACTTGGAATTCCTCGGGAATTTTGTGTTCGAAAAGTTCAACCAGGTGCTTCTATTCATCTTCGCTGGGCAGCTCTTCTTCGTATTCCTGTTCCCTGATTCCATCACTGATGTCCGAGGGAGAGCATTCCTCGGGATCAATGCATCGAATCATCCCAATTTGGGCCGAGTTAGGGATCCGTTTTATCGTTCAGGTGAAAACTCGCAAAGGGACAGTTTGAGGCTTTTCCCCAGTTTGCGTGAGTACCAATTGCCTCGAATCGAAATACAGACGTGCGCCTACCGCCATCGCCCAAGGTAATCCCAATAACATATAATAGGAACGTACATCTATTACGAGCGCATTAACAAGGACGTGTACTCGCCCGACTTTTACAGCCACGTTCTCGATAATGCCTACGATGTTCATTGCCTCCTCGTCGGCAGAGACATAATTGTCTTTGCCAGATTGAGGAAGAATTGATCCCAGTCGTCCCGTCTTTTTGACAGTATCCAATGATATGGCCACGACAGAAGACCCTGTGTCAATAAGGGCATTAAACGGCTTGCCCCAAACTTCACATTCACATTCCGCATTTTTCCACAATACCGGCCGAGCTCGTACGAAGTGATATTTTTCTGCTAAAGAGATCGCTGCTATGCGTGCGGCTTCGGGTTCCGGTTCTTTCGTGTCAGGCTCAGGGGGTGCAACTTCCTCGCTTTCTTCTTTCTTCTTCAACATCCGTTGTATGCGTTGATAGGTGAAACGCTGTTGATTTTTCTGGCAATGTTGTAGAAGCTTATCGTTCGCCACTTCAGATATGGTGAGCAGATGTCCCACTGGGATGGGCACGCAAATATCTAGTTGCCTGAGCATTTTCAGTATATCAATGTCTCCTGTCTGAAACTGTGGTCCAGGATTGGATTCGCGATCGACCCACTCGAGATCATCCGGGACCGATCGGATTGCTCCGATCATGCCTGCAAGATGAAGGTAT